ACAAGTTTAGCTGTTAGCATGGATACTGAATTTCACATCCTTTCACAGAAGCCCTGCAGCTCTTTAAGGGCTTCTCGTGTCTTCAGGTAAGTGATGCTTTTTATCCTCATCCTCCTTAGCAGAACCCTGGAAAGCTGTCAATGCTTTAGAGGCCCTTCAGGTAACTTAATTTCAGACAAATAATAATTCATGAGCTTGACTTCCGTGTAGAGGGTTGCTATACAGCTCTTATTACTGCCCTGTTTGTTAATTTCAGCTCAACAATTTATGTCCTGTAGTTTTGACAAAGGGGGTGGGAGATGAGGTGGAGAGCATGTTTATTAATTTTTTTTTTTAATCCCACATATTTATTTCTGTTAGCTCTTTGATTTAAACAGCAGAAGATTGAACAGTCAAAGGTCGGGGTGGATGGGGTGGAGTTTTCCCACAAGTGCTGATGGCTTGCTGATCCCACTGTTTACACATCCAGTCTTTCTGATGAGCCTGATGTGTTCAACAGGAGAGCTTCTCCTATTTTGGGAGCGTGCTTAGACTGCAGCTCTGAATCCTTCCTTTAGAAACGTTTAGAAAATGCTAGGATGCAGTCAGGGCAGCACTCAGATATGTCTCCTTGCTGTTAACTGATTTCAGAGCAGCTGTGCGTACGCTGAAAGCTAAGCACATGTTGAAGTGGTTTTGTGGTTGAGGTCTTGAGTTATTTTTGCATAATGGCTATTATGCAGCCTCAGGAGCAGGAGGTGGAGTCAGCCAGTTAGGTCACCTTGTGCCTAAAGAACTGAAGGAAACCGTAGTTTGAGTCACTATGAAAGAAGTGTCTTGCCTTGGAAAGCACAAGGTTTCCCATATAAGTAGGGATTTTCTTTTTGTATGTGTGAATTGCATGCAAACTGGCTGTGTTTGTTTCCAGTAACAGTGTCTTGCGTAGAGCTAGGTTATCTCTGGTAGAGAAGGTCTTAGGGTGGAAAATTTACAAGTTGCTTGCTTGTTTTCACACTGATGTAGATTTTTTTGGCAAACATCATCCTTTCCTTTCCTTCTTTCATTGCCACAAAAAATTCAGTGGCATCAGTACAAGTGACTGAGGATAAAGGGCAGTCCTAGGCCAGTTACTGTGTGGCAAGATCAATTTTGATGGACTTAGCATCTTGGAAAATGATAGACTTTTCTCCTCCAAGATTCAGGGACCTTATTGTGCTCTCTGATTGCTTTGGTTAATGAAGGAGAACAAATGCTCTTGTGTGGGTGAATACTATAGAGAATTTTTTTGATAATTTGCAGTGTGAATGTTTTTGGCAGGTAGCACAAGACAGCAGGTTTGCTATTTGTTCACATAAGATGCTGGCAGCTTTTAGTTTAGTACTTATTCCTGTTCTTAGTATCCAGTGAAAGGTAAAACGGAGCAGAAATTTAGCCACTGGAGACACTGCAGCACAGAAGTATTCTTAGCTGGATGTCTTGTCTTGGAAGAGCAATGTGTGAAAATTGGATTAAGGTAGAGACTTAAAGACAGACAATAGCTAAACTAAAATTGGCAACCTAAGTCTGTAGGCCCAGTTGAACTAAGCTCAGCATAAGATCAATGGGGAGGCAAAGTGTATTTAAATCATCTTCTCCAGGCTCTGATGTGGGTGGAGCCCAGTGGAGAGAGGACACTTCTTGAAGAAAACACTCCTCTGCCCCCCAGGGTGATCCCTTGGACCCAGAGGTGTGTGGCCTGGCCAAACCGTGGTGTCAGGATCTGGAGGTGCTTGTTCAAGCAACATGAATGTGGTAGAACAAAGGTGAGTGCCTGGCTCGTCAGGCTGAGAAGACAGCACTTGAGCTTACAGAAACACATTTTGAGTTTTTGCAACACTAGAATAAATAAGTTTTTGATAATTATGAATGAAAACTGTCACATTAAATCTAAACTAACAGCTCTCACTTTGAAAGACTAAGTATGTTCCTATTCCGTAGAGCCCCAGAAGGCAATAGCTGATAATAAGCTCAGTTAGCAATAGCAGTTTTGCAAGTTTGTGTGTATTATACAGTAGATTGGGGAAGTCGTTCGTATCAGTTAAAATAATCCTATCAATGTCAATAATAATAAAATCTTGTTAATTTTAGGCAATTAGTCCATGGATCAGACTCGAATTCTATTCAATTGATTAAAAGATATGGGGAAGTCCTACTCAGAGATGAAGAACTGCTGTTATACAATTCTGATGTTCCTTACATACCACTAACTATGAAACCAGAAGTATCCATCAAAAATAAAAGGAGGGCAAGAGGATGCAGAGGATAATCTAATTCCCTCCAAAATCCCTGAGAGGTTAAGAATGAATGTTAAAAGGCAACTTTTGTTGATTCTTCATGAGGCAAATTAGGTTTTTTCCCACCTTAATACCTGAAAATAGCTAATTAATTCCATGGCTTATTTTCATCAAAAACTACAGGTATCTTGGAACTAAAAATAAATGGCTTTTATTTTTCTGCAGAAAAAAATTAGTCACGTAACAATTCCCACCTCTCTGGCAAAGACAAAACAGCAGACCTGTAGCTAAATCAGTTATGCTGCTCTGGTGAGTTTTCCAGGTCTGGCCCTGAGGAACCACTCTCCATCAAGGAATGAATCACTGCAGATTCAAAGACCATTAATACATCTTCCTATATGAGAAGAATAATCTTAATTAATCATCAACCTTAAACCTAAATATTTCTCCTGTAAACCTGAAAAAATAAGAAAGAAAAGGCCCTTTTAGAGCCTGTGGGGTAATTGGCTGCATTCATTTGTATTCATTAGCATCTGTTGCTTGAAGATTTTCATGGCCATAGCTGTGTATTAAAACACAGTATGTTAATGCAGGAACAGAATATTTTAGCAGAAAACTGTAATTAAAAAAGTAGCTGACCCAAAGCACTTGCTTCATTGACTTTCTTCCTATTTTTTAAGACCAATTCTCATAATAAGTACTACAATAAATGGCTAGAGTAATTATTCTTGTCAGTAGAAGCTGCTGTATCAGTTTAATGAGAAATCTTTAGCATAAGAAGTTTAGAGGTTTTGATTTTGTTCCCAGCAGATTGCATGCCTTTGAATCCAGTTGTTGGCTGGCTGGGGTTTGGAAATATTTTGGATGTTATTGAATGGAGTGAAAGACAATAACAATTTTGTAGAAACATTTATACTGACTAATTTGCTGAAAGTATCTATACAAACATGCAAACAATGAGTGGAGATGCTCTTACAAGCACCAAGACTGATGCTCTGTGGCTGGGAGAGCTGCCCAGAGTCCTGCTGGGGCACTGGCAGTGTGGAGCAGCAGCAGGACAGAGATGGGTAGATGGAGGGCACTGCTAGGAGAGGGGTTGCATTTAGGATTTGCAGGGGACTATGACTTGAGGAAGGGTGAATGACTCTGCAGGGTACCAGTTCCTGGGGTAGGGGAGAGCAGTCCAGGCTGCAAAGGATTTGGGAGTCAGGGGTTTTGGTGTCTCAAAGCAGGTCCCCAGGGGCTGTTGGGTAGCTGGTCCCTGGTGCACATCTTGTGGCTGGGCCTGAGGGCAGCGTGGCAGAGGGCTGTGTGCCTATACTCAGCATCAACATTTCCTCACCTCTGGACTCCTCTTCTACTCAAAATCCAGGCAGCAAAAGTCGCTGCAACAGCAGAAGGCAGAGAACTGGGAAAGTATTGCTGGTGGCTAGGGAAATAGGAGGGAAAGCAATTTTAACAAGTGTCTCACTATTAATTACAGCCTTGAATGATGTTTTAAAGTATTTTTGGTAGCTGTTGGACAGTTTATATACTAATGAAGTAGATAGAAAACATGCAGAGAAAAAAGAATGATTTGCAATTTATAATTATTGTGAAATGTTTTGAATTGATAGTATGTGGGAAAAGATTTAAATTTAGTTGCTGCACTAAAATTACCCAAAGCTTTGCAGGCAGCTGGGTTTACATCCAGCAGCAAGCAGGTAGTTGATACTGAAAAGACAGTCACATGTGCCTGGCTAAGTATTTTCTCAAGAGGAGTTAGAATATATGCCCTGGAGAAAAAGGCTTTGGATTTCTTGCCTGGTTGTCTGTTTTCCCACAGCACTTTGTGGTCGTGGTACACAGAAATGACCAGAATAGCTACTTTTCAAAGCAAATGGGGAGACAAGAGAGTGTGAAGTAGGTTAGGGCTGAGCAGTGAGGCTCCCATGAGAGCAGCCATGAGAGCCTTGTGGTTGTGCATGCAGCAGAGATGGGCTTCTCAGCCTAGTGAGAATGTCCTTTGCCAAAGGACCCTAAAACACACAAATAAGAAAGCCCAGACTCTCTCCTGGGTGTGTATCTCAGGGGTCTGACTCATGACTTGTTTGGTTTTTGTTTTAGTTTTGCTTGAGGTGTCCAAGGTTGCAAAAAAGAGGCAGAATTGAGGCAGGACGCTCATCTGCCGAGCACTGAGCTGTCATGTGTGCCTCACAGACATGCTGACCTGTCCCAGGCTCTGCTCCCAGCACTGTTTCGGAGACTTCTTCCCCTTCTCCTCCCACATCGGCTGAGACACTTTTCCTATGCCTTTTTATCCCAAAGTTCCTCCTTTATTCATATCTCTTAAATCCTGGTGAGATCCACCCCACTTCTGGTGATGCAGACCTTAACCGGATGCTGGAGCTTCCCATGAAACCCCTCTTCACATATATATCTGTTTTCAAAATGTACGTGACAGAACCAGATACACCTCCTCACAGCTGTAGCGAGTTGCTGAGATCTGGAAGGCAGTGTAATAGCTGCAGATGTCACTCGTGAAAACTTGGTATCAATAATGCTGCAATCAGTCAAGTCGCTGTACAGCTCGGTATATTTTATAGCTCAGTAGGGAACTGAATTGTGGGAAAGGATAATATGTTGTGCTTTGAGGTTCAGAAGAACATGAATTATCTTTACATAAACATATCTTCTCTATTATTTATGCACTTGTGGAATGGCCAAAGAAAACTTACTCTTTTTTTTAATGTTGTTATTCCACAGGATCCTTCAAACCAAAAATGTGGAAGAAAGAAGACGGTGTCCTTCAGTAGCATGCCATCAGAGAAGAAAATAAGCAGCGCCAGTGACTGTATCAGCTTTATGCAGGCTGGGTGTGAATTGAAGAAAGTTCGTCCAAATTCCCGGATTTATAACCGTTTTTTTACGCTGGATCCTGACATGCAGGCTCTTCGTTGGGAGCCTTCCAAGAAGGACCTCGAGAAAGCCAAGCTTGATATTTCTGCTATAAAAGAAATCAGACTAGGGAAGAACACAGAAACGTTCAGGAATAACGGACTTGCAGACCAGATTTCTGAGGACTGTGCGCTGTCGGTAATTCATGGAGAGAACTATGAGTCCCTTGACTTGGTTGCCAATTCAGCTGATGTGGCCAATATTTGGGTGTCAGGATTAAGGTACTTGGTTTCTCGTAGCAAGCAACCCCTGGATTTGATGGAGAGCAGCCATAATACCCCACGTTTTGCCTGGCTAAAAACTGTATTTGAAGCAGCAGATGTTGATGGTAATGGCATAATGTTAGAAGATACGTCTGTGGAGCTAATAAAGAAGCTTAACCCCACCTTAAAGGAAACAAAGATTAGACTAAAATTTAAGGAAATCCAGAAGAGCAAAGAGAAACTGACAACACGAGTAACGAAAGAAGAATTTTGTGAAGTGTTCAGTGAACTTTGCACAAGACCTGAAGTTTATTTCTTACTCGTGCAGATATCTAAAAACAAAGAATATCTAGATGCCAATGACCTCATGCTGTTTTTAGAGGCTGAGCAAGGAGTGACACACATAACAGAAGAAATGTGTCTAGATATTATACGCAGGTATGAGCTTTCTCAAGAAGGGCGTTTGAAAGGTTTTCTTGCAATTGATGGATTTACTCAGTACTTGTTGTCCCCAGAATGTGATATTTTTGACCCAGAGCACAAAAAAATTGTCCAAGACATGACACAGCCTTTGTCACATTACTACATCAACGCATCCCACAATACATATCTAATAGAAGACCAGCTCAGAGGGCCAGCTGATATCAATGGTTATGTCAGAGCGTTAAAAATGAGTTGTCGGAGTATTGAACTAGACGTCTGTGACGGCCCGGATAATGAACCCATTATTTGTAACCGTAACAACATGACATCGCCGCTTGCCTTTCGAAATGTTATTGAGGTAATAAACAAACTGGCCTTCTTTGCTTCAGAATACCCCCTTATTCTCTGCTTGGGGAACCACTGCTCAGTACAACAGCAGAAGGTAGTGGTGCAGCACATGAGAAGGATCTTTGGAAACAAACTATACACAGAGGCACCTTTATCCTCAGAAGTCTACCTCCCATCACCCGAGAAACTGAAAATGAAGATCATTGTGAAGGGGAAGAAGCTGCCCTGTGATCAGGATATAGTAGAAGGGGAAGTCACAGATGAAGATGAAGAGGCTGAAATATCCCGGAGACTCTCAGAGGACTTCTCAAGGGAACCAAAGCTGATCTGGCTCTGCAGGGAATTGTCCGACTTGGTGTCCCTATGCAAATCTGTCCAATACAAAGACTTTGAGACATCCATGAAAGCTCAAAATTATTGGGAAATGTGCTCCTTCAGTGAGGCAGAAGCCAGTCGGATTGCAAATGAATACCCTGAAGATTTTGTCAACTACAACAAAAAGTTTCTGTCCAGGGTGTACCCGAGTGCTATGAGGATAGACTCCAGTAACTTAAATCCTCAAGATTTTTGGAATTGTGGTTGCCAAATAGTGGCAATGAACTATCAGACCCCAGGGCCCATGATGGACCTACACACTGGCTGGTTTCTACAGAACGGGGGATGCGGGTACGTTCTCAGGCCTTCAGTGATGCGTGACGAGGTATCTTACTTCAGCGCAAATACCAAGGGCATTGTTCCGGGCGTCTCTCCCCAAGTCCTACATGTCAAAATAATCAGTGGTCAGAACTTTCCAAAGCCCAAGGGTGCATGTGCGAAAGGGGATGTCATAGACCCCTATGTCTGCATAGAAATACATGGGATTCCTGCAGACTGCACTGAACAAAGAACTAAAACTGTTCAGCAAAACAGTGATAACCCCATTTTTGATGAAAGCTTTGAGTTCCAGATCAATCTACCAGAGCTGGCCATGATCCGTTTTGTTGTTTTGGATGATGACTACATTGGGGATGAGTTCATAGGGCAGTATACCATCCCGCTGGAGTGCTTACAGCCTGGCTACAGGCACATACCGCTGCGGTCTTTTGTTGGTGATATCATGGAGCACGTTACCCTCTTTGTTCACATTGCAATAACCAACCGAAGTGGAGGTGGGAAGGCCCAAAAGCGCAGCCTCTCAGTGAGGATAGGAAAGAAAGCAAGGGAGTACACCATGCTGAGGAACACTGGTCTCAAGATTATCGATGACATCTTTAAGCTGGCAGTGCATCCGCTACGAGAGGCTACTGACATGAGAGAAAATATGCAGGTATGACACTTTCATCATGTGTGTTGGTGTGTCCTGAATGTGGAAGTGAAAGTCCTGCTGTGAGCTGCTGGTAAGGCAAACTTGCTGAAGCTCGTGAAGCTCCAGACCCACAGCTGTTGTCAGCCTTTAACTAGACATCAGAAGGCTGATAGTTACAGGTGTTAACTAACAAGCAAATGTGGGATTAGGCAGAAATGTTTTAAAAATCAATATGCCCTCTCCAAACATATGCTTTACTGGTTGTTTTTGTCTGAGAAAGCAGAACTGAGGGTACACTTGTGTCTTCAGGTCTCAAACTTTTCATTTACTTGCTGGTTCTGGAAAACATGAGCAAACTTCTGTTTGCTAACTGAGCGAGGGCTATGCTCTTAATTTTCTTGGTCTAGGTGAGTGTAAGAAGCAATCAGTGCGTGTGTCATTAAGGTCTTGCCCACACTAGAGAAACCCAATGTACAGAGAGCAGCACGTGTTGCCACCGTTTGCCTGAGGGTTGCAGATGTTCAAGGTGGGCACTGAATGCCACTTGGATTGCAATTTCCTCCTTGCTAAATAGCTGTGCTATCTTGGCTGGCTGAGCACCGCCACGGACACCGGTGCCATGTCCTGGCTCAAGCAGTCTGCTGGCACCGCGTCTGCCTGCCCGTGACGCTCCAAGAGCAGCTGGAGCCCGCTGCGGCGGGGGGTGTCAGGGCCCAGGTGCACAGCATCGTCACAACTGCCCGGATTAGACCTTCATGGTCAGAAGGAGGTGAAATGGCAGCGAGGCCAAACAAGAACCAGCCTGCCTGGTGCTCTCCTCCACGGCCGGGGTGACTCTGCGTGTTGATTAAGGGGCAGCTCAATTCAGAGGTCCAGGCGCTGCCTAGAAACAAAACTGAGTAGCATTAAACAATGAGTTTTCTTTAATAAATAGCTGAAATCATCCATAACTATCTCCTTGGTAAAGATACAGAAACAATTCATTTTTCTTTCTTGAAAACAGGAGAAAAACGCATAGCACTTCATTGACCCCGCTCTTCTGGACAGAGTCTAAAGCAAATTAAATGTTGGCAGCTGGAAAAGTTTACAAAATGACATAAGTTTTAAATCACTCCCAAAGGAATAGTCTGAGCATATTTTTAAGAATGGGAAACTCTTCCCAGCCTTTCCTTTCCTGCAGGCCTTGAAAGTAACTAGTTTGAACCACTGACTCCACCTTCTGTCTAGGTCAGGCTTATGTATGTGAACTCTGTAAAAGAAAATACTCTGAATCTGACTCAGAATCAGTATTAATGTGCCTTCCAAGTGAAATTTCAGTACTAGATCTTGTTCTGGAGAATGCTTCGTAAAGACACAGTCATTAGATTTAACAGCATGCTAATGTATTTCATTAATGAGAAAGGCCTCTACGAATTAGCAGGGTATTTTCTGATGACTATTTTTTCAGCAAGATGTGTGGGGAACATTTACAAGGTACGGGTCTCTCAGATTTTGTGCATCTTGGTCACTCATTGTATGACTCAAGAAGCTAAATGATGAGGGCATGTCAGCCGTACATCCACGGACTTGATAAATAAATAAATCCTGGCATGTTAGTTTGGTTTGACCTGTATATCCAGTATTGATTTTCTTACATGTGACCTATGAAGGGGAAAGAGATTAGTGTTTCTTTATGATATGGTAATGCAAGGCTGAAAACAAAGTGGTTTTTTCCTGCTTGCCTTTCCCATGGGAAATATGAGGTCTGTCGAACTTGTTCTAGCTGGAGGATGATAATGATGGGAGGACGAGGCAATTACAGCATCAAAAGTAATTGGAGTCTGAACATTTGGGAAGAGAAATAGCAATTTAGGCTAATGGTTTAATATGTTGGGGACCAGAGCTTGTCCCTGTTGGGACTGGATTTGCAATGCAGAGTAGCTGCAGAGCTGGGATACCTGGGCCTGGGGAAAGCTGGAGCTGGCAGTAGGCTTGGGGAGCTGAGAATGGGGCTGACCAGGAATTGCTGAGTGCACTGGCATCCCGGGGCCCATGGCGGGTCCAGAGACGGCAGGCAGTGGGGTACCACTGCCCTGCATCAGCGGGGAGAAGCAGGCAGGCACTGACGAGGTACTGGCAGGCAGGTGGGACCAAGTGGCAAGCAGAAACATGTGCTTAAGTAGTTCTTTTCCTTCTCCCAGAGCGCCATGGTGTCTGTCAAGGAGCTGTGTGGGCTGCCGCCCATCGCGAGCCTGAAGCAATGCATCCTGACCCTGTCCTCGCGGCTCGTGAGCAGCGACAACGCACCCTCTGTTACCCTCTGCATGAAGGACGCGTTTCCTTACCTAGAGCCTCTGGGGACCATGCCCGATGTGCAGAAAAAGGTGCTGGCAGCGTACGACCTGGTAGGTACTTACCACTGCTACCTCAGCCTTTCCTCACCTTCGTGAGCATGGCAGGTGATGCTCGCTGGCTTTCATGCACCCAGATGTTTCAGGTAAATGAATGAGGCTCTTCGAATGACTTAAGCTATGCAAAATTGTCCTCTAATCATCTAAAATCACCGCACTAGGCTTTTTGTCATTTGGGTTTTTGGTTGGTTGGGGGGGGGGGCGGGTTTTGGGGGTTTTTTTGGTTGTGTGGTGGGGGGGGGGGGGGCTGTTTTGGAGGTTTGTTTGTTTTGGGGGTTATTTGTTTGGTTTGGGGGTTTTGTTTGTTTTTTAAACACCGTTGTGGCTAGCATAGGTTGGCACTTGAGGAGGGATTTTATTTAGAAAAATAGCAGCAAATCAGCGTGTACTGGCAGCTGTTAGTCGTTGTCCTTGAGAAGCAGCAAGATTTGTGCGCTGCGCTTCGCTCGCCTCCCCGCAGCAGAGGGCAAGGCCATTAGACAGGGAGCTGTAGCGTGGGAGTTCCCGGGCAAAGCTGAGCCGTCCCCTTCCTGACGCCTTTCAGCAGCACTGTTAAGTAGTGCCCGTGTCCCTGCCAAACCAACTCCATGTTGCTCTTGGGAAGGGCATTGGGAAGTTTTAAAACGCAGGGTTTTTTTTTTTTGCATGGGGAAGGAGAGGTCAATATGGTACGGGAATACTTACAAAAAGGTAAAGAGACAAGCTAAAGTCATTCCAGGTGAATGCTGCTGCTCAGCCTTATATGACATATGTCACTGCTGTGTGTGACTGAGCAACAGCTGTGCGTGGCTTCCAGCAGCAGGACTTGCCGTCACGTTGTGCCTCTCGGGCTACGAGACTGCCCCGTCGCTTCCCGTCCTTAGTAGACAGTCTGCAGCAACCGAGAGCAAGCTGCATAGTTTTGTAAACCCTGACTTAAATATTGTACTGTGGCAACCAGACTAAGTCACGATGAATGTTCAGTGCACAGCGGTTATTTCTGCAGCTTATGATTGTAAGGAGTAAAAAAGGTGAATAACTTTGAGGGTAGCAAATTACTGCCAGAGCCCCTGAAGTGTTGCAAAGAGTGATCACATCTTTGACTGGCTATTCAATGTGCCAAATGCTTGCCTCCTCTCCCATTTTTGCTGTTATAACACACTTTTCAGGAGAAAGTCAGCCTGGAGGCAAGAGGGAGATGCTGATGTTGATTAAAAGAGAAATACTAAAAATACTCTGAAATAACCTTTGGGTTCCTTCCAAAGTAGTTCATATTACTTGAAGATGATGAAGATGTGGTAAAAAAAATACCAACTCTAACACCACTAGAATGAGGATTTGTAAATCCTGTTGATTGCCATATTTTAGATTGGACTTTTTTGGCATAGATTTGTTACGTGGTGTGATGTCTGCCTGAAGGAGCAAATACATAAATAAGAGATTTTTCTGTCTTTGGAGGCCTGCTTAATGGAGTTTTACCAAAATGAATGTGTCACCTCTTATCTTTGTAATTACATACTGAAGAGTACACATGGGACATTTCAAGGCCTCCTTGTGCTTTGGAAACAGTTTTTCAATTTAAATAGGTGACAGGCCTCTTTCAGATGCAGACAAAAACACTTGTATAACTGTTTTCAATAATGTTTGCTCTCACATTTGTCTCTGATGGAGGAAGATGTACCTTGAATGTCAGTGCAGAAAGTTTAAAATCAGAGAGCTGAGAATGAGAAGGGAATTCTGCCATGCCTGTGTAAGGGTTGATTTGAGATGTAATTCTGGTTAATGAGAACATGTTACTTTAAATTATTTTTACCCTCTTTGTCTGGCTGTGACTGCCTCTTACTTTGCTAAAACTATTTGCTTCTGAAAAAGCAAAAGCCAACTTTAATAAATGTTTTTGCTACATTTTGGATATTTGCCTTTTGAGGCAATGCCAGCAGCAGAATTTTAAAATCTGTTTAGTCTTTTCTGTATTTAAAAAAATGAACTGTCTCTATCAATCTTGATATTTGAAAATACAGTATGCAGTTTTAATGTTGAGAAAGGACTCTTCCTTGTTATGATGTTTGTAGTGACTTGGTATAATCCAGGGTGTATTTCTTTTAAATGGTAATTTTTTTTTAATTTTTTTTTTTTTTTTTTGGTGCAAATGAGAGCACAAGGAAATGTTGGTGGAAAGCAACAGAAAATAATTTAGCTTTTTATTTATTAGTTTTTATTCAAGATATGCTACAGTTCAACCTTTAAGCTATTGACAAATACAGCTTCAAGGAAATGGATCTACAATTGCTTGCTGCTTTTCTTTAATTCCCCAGAAACGTCTCTTCACCTCAAAGCACTTTTTGAGTGAATAGGCCTGAGAGCAATTTTAAATACATAAACCAAAAGCTGTTGATGTTGGCCTCTCTCTTGTATGAATAGTCTGTACTTCTTAATTCGTTTTATGGTAGAATGGAAAAAAGTTTGGCCCTAAATCTCATAGTGGGAAACTGTGATTGCAGGTCTGCCTCACTTGCTGGGCTCCACAGCACAGGTAGTGTGAGCGCTGGGCAAACCCTTCCTCGACACCTCTGGAAACGCCACATATTTCACATTCTTTAAGAAGGCTGCTTTGAAAATAATCTCTGATAAAAACAGCCCTAATGTGTTGGATTTTTTTCCCTTTACAGGGAATTGCCAACTGAACAGACCTTTTTTTTTTTTTTTTTCCCCCCTTCTTTTTGGAAAGTATAAATTCTGCCCGTGTGTTTAATGGGGCATAGACAGGGCTGACAGTCCAGGCAAACGGAGGTGCAAATGCTCGGAGACCTGCCACAATGATCTGGAAAACAATTAACTGTCTGTTCTCTCCTGCTCGGCCTTTGTCAGCAGGCGCAATAGACAAAGACCGGTTTGTGCAGTTTGTTTGTTTTTTCCTGAGCAATTAATTTCACCATTGTGTTCCGCATTAAATATTTTCTTTCGAGAGAGGCCTTATTAGAATAAAATGTAATATGCTTTGTTTAAGGAACCGGAATGATTTTTCAAGACTCTATTTATGGGTTTTTTATGGTCGCATTGCAGTGGTTTAGTGGAACTCGACTGTTGCCGTGTCTCCTGGAGGAAGAGGCTTCATTGATGACACTGGGTTGTATGGGAGTTTCTGCAGAGAACAGGGAGTGGGATTTGCTGAAAACAAGAAAATAAGGTGGACCATTGACAATTCACAGAAAACATTTTTGAAAAGTATATCAACTACCAGAAAAGCAGTTTAAAATGATTTATTTTGACTTACAGCTTTGGTAGATGCCATACATAGCGTATGATGAATGGATTCTGGTAATGTTGTCATTGACTCCCACACATACATCCTAGGAAAGTGTAGCATGTCACTCACAGAGCTGTTCTTCAGACCTTTGCTTTCCCATGAAGGAGGGCTGTGTCTCTCCCCCTCTGCTTGTATTCTCCCCCTCATCGATGGCTGGGCGTTGGAAGTTAATAGCTCAGGTGGGCAGTGCATGCGGTGCGCCTTATAACCTGTCAAATTGTTGCCGGTGTTCATTGATCACACCTAAAAAAAGGAGAAACTCAATGTGAAGAGAAGGGACGGGGCCCAGCTGGACGTGACAGATGGTTGAATTATTCATTGCAAACAGTTATTCTGTGAAGTTAGGATTTTTTTTGGTTGAGAATTGTTCACCAACAGATTGTGGTCTCTCTGTCTGCATGATATATTCATTTGCTGATGCAAGCATGCATGAACTCAGGGACACTTGTGCACTTTGCTTTTCGGTTATTGGTTCAGTATTATTTTTCCTGCAAGATCAAATGATGGAATCATTTGCAAATCAAAAGCAATAAACAAATGATAATAAATGTTCTTGGTTTTACCCAATCTCCTGGCTCGTGTGCATACAGAAATTTTTCTGCAAAAATAGAAGAAGCTCCCTAAGTATCCTTACATGTTTTTGAATCATAAACAACAAAAAGTGTGAAGAAAAAAAAAAGATTGAGCAGAGAAGTAATTTGTTATATAAACTCATGTTGACATTAACATTTTTCTTTGTATTCAAGTCTCTTTACTGGAACAGATCTTGTTATTTTGGAACAGACAGGTATGGAAGGACAGCGTGCCTGTAGGTACTGTTGAGAGATGGTAAGTTAGAGTTAAGAATGTCTCGGCCAGCATGAAGATGGATTTAGGATTTTGGAGAAGAGAAGTAATATCTGTGATGCTGCTGGGGAATATGTCAATGCATTTAATGGCAGTGTGTTTGTTGACACAGGTATTGGTCCATGCACCCTAGCAGAAGTCTGCTGAGGTGTGTGTGGAGAGGAACTGTTCTTTGTCTGCTGTCCTTTCAGGCTCAGTCTTTTGGGTTTCCTTGTCTTGGTGCAGGCGTGACAGCTCTTTATTTCCAAGGAGAAAATCTATTTTCCCAGTTTATATCAATGACTAAATAGATTTTTGTGAGCCTTTCCACTGAAATTCGTATTTCAAGTGGGACAGAGTCATCCCCAAAGGAACGTTTTTCACAATTCTCTGAGCAGCTAAATACAAGGGATAGGCAGAGCAGAACATCCACTGCCAAGGAAGTGTCACAATGCACTGACGTCAAACACAGTCCAGTACATAGATATTGTCTTGAATTTGTATCTGTTTTAAAGAGTTTTCCGTCCAAAGTTGGACATAGACTGGGAAAGCAATTATACTGTTTCTTTCTCCACTCTTATAATTCTCTCTCATTTACCCACCGCTCTCTCAGTTTCTGTCTCTGATAGCCATGTCCCTTAGTCCCTTCTAAAATAGGACCTGAAAATAGTCAGATCAGAACTTTTCTTGCAGAATGAAGTTCCACTTGGGTACTTTAGTTGCTCTGTTTTAACACAAGCATATTGAAAGCTGACCCCTTTCCCTGTTCCTCTACTGCTCCTTTTTGTAGAGGACTAGTCTTTGCACACCAGCTCACATCCTACAACACTCTGACACCATATTCCCCCAGAAATATTTATAAGTGAAAACATGAAACTAGAAT